TATGTCCTATTTGTACAGCGAGGGAGTGATTATGGCTTATGAGGTCAGAATAGAGATATACCTATATATGTATAGATGCTTTCGAATAGCGTTGATGAAAGGAATTCGTTTCTTTTTTCCTTTTCCTTTACTTTTACACACAAAGGAGGTGGAACTTCCGCATTTGTCTGGTTTCTCATCTCATCTCATCTCCAATCAAGCACCAGACAGAGAGAGAAAGAGAGAGAAATACATTTATATATATATAGTCAAAAGGATCGACGTTGCTACGTGAAGGGCATATAATATAGTGTCGAGAGTAAAACCTCTACACCTTTTGTGTATGTAAGACACGCCAGTTTTCCTTTCGATATGAACCCACGGATTTATGTTAGATATCTGTCATGATCTTACCATTTTCCTTATTATATTCTCTTTACTATATATATATATATATATATATTGTTTTTTATTCTTTTTCCGCTTCTAAAATTTTAGTCGAAATTGAATACGAATCTTTTCTTGCTCTTCTTTTACAATATAGAATATTTTTATTACTTTTCCGTATCAATAAATGCAATTTCAAGTCTATAGTCCTTCGAAAAAAAAGAAAAAAAGGAGACAAAAAATAGAAAATTGATTTTGAATTACCGTTAGATTTTGTCTCGATTAGACTAATTTGAAATTAGAGGGAAAATTTTCCACATTTTAGCGTCACGAGGGAATTTATCTCTTCTTTCATTGAATAAAAAAAAAAAAAAATGCAACTGTAATTTTTTCAAAAGAAGAAAATTTGATGAACTATTTTCTTTTATTTGAAAGAAATTTTAATCAATTTTAATCTTTTGAAAAAAGAACAAAAAAGAAACGATACTATATTAAATTTACATTTTTCTTTTTAGTATGGAATTTATCAAGTTTTTAAAAAAAAATTTTCTACTTCGCAGTTAATTAAAAATATATAAAAAAATTTAATAATTACAATATTATATTACAAAATGGAGAAAGAAAACAAAAATTGAATAAATAAAAAAATTTATAATTGAGAAAAATACAATATTGTTTCTCAATTGTCCCTCTATATAGAAATTAGTATTTTGTAATTTTACCTTTTGATCCTTTTGCCAAATGCATTGGCCCCGCTTATCAAGAACTCGGCAAATGAGTTTTGCATCCTGACCAGGATTGACTTCCGTATACTCTGGTGTTTTCTCAAACTTCTGAATTCCATTCGAAGCTGTAACAAGAATTTTCGAGAAATAGTGTTAATTGAAATTCGTTCTCTACACGAATCAATCAAAAGCATTGTCATCTATATATATATATATATCTATATATCGCAGAAGAATGAAAGCGCGGCGTGATTCAGTGAAATCAATTGGGGCATAACTTGATGAAATATTTTACCCCGGAATGCAAAATATTTCCCCGTCATAATTTCATAATCATAATTTTCAAAAAAGATATTTACAGAAGAGCAATTCAATTATTATTATTTAAAAAATCATTGTTTATCAAGCTACTTGATTAAATTATAATATAATCAAATTTTTCGCTATAAAAAATTATCAAAAAAAAAATATTTATTAATTAAAAAATTTTCTTTATTTTTCTAATATTTTAAAAATAAATATTTTTTTTTTTTTGATAAAAAAAAGAAATATAAATGATTAATGTTTGAAGGATTATTATAATAATTATGACAACATCGGAGAGGCATAAATATAATAATATACGAACGGAATTGAAATGTATTTCTGACATGTTATAATAATCCTAAAGTTATCAAAATTGAAGTGCGTACTTGTTAATGTAGGTCATTTACAATTAGTAACGTGTGTCAGTGCATGGTTGCGTATGCAATAAATATACAACGCAGTGCTCTCAATGTCCGTTGCATTTCTGTTGCAGACAAATAACTATATATCTATATGATGCTTTCGAAAAAAAATTTTTTCGTTTCAAAATATCAGACATGGAAAAAAGCATTTTTTTTTTTTATTTTTCAATTTTTCAGTACTACTATATACGTTCTTTTCCCCACAGTAAAGCTTCTATACATCTGCCACAACTCGCTTTATTAATCATTGCCACTCTGTGAAAAATTGAATTTTTAAATCCGATGCATCGACATTCACTATACAACATCGTCTCTATACTGCCTACTTTTATATTCTGTCAGTTCGCTATCAGATTTTTTTTTTTCATTTCATTGTAATTGTCTCTTATGGCAATTTTATAATATTTCAATCGTGATAAAAATTGACAGTTATTTAGGTATATCAATTAATTTGATAAAATTGTCTTATAAAAATATAAACAGATAATTACTATTTATATTTTATATTACTAAAGAATTTTTAAATCGAATTTTTAATCAAATATTTCAAAAATTTATTAAATTTTTAATAAAAAAAAAAAAAAATTACGAAACAAACTTTTATTTATAATACGTAATAACCCAAGTAGAAATGTGCCACTGGCATAGTACTGACCCAACACTGCCAGTCAGTATAACGGTACTGACTGCCGTACTGGGCCAGTAGTGGACCAACCCTGGCTGGTAACGCTGTCCAGTACTGATTTTGTCCCGCTCACCAGTACTAACGTAGTACTAGAATAATACTGGCATAATACTGGCAAAGTACTCATCCGGACTTAAAATCTCACTTGTTTACAAAATGCTAAAACACGCTTTCCAATGCAAATTTCATCCTTATTAGCTTATTACTCCCATTTTTACCACGAACAGGTAATGTGAAGCCAATAATAGTTAATGTTATTTAGAATATATAAAATATTATTAACAATAAATAATTAAAATAATAATTATCATTTATATTAATTAAATTATTTTATTTTTAATAAATTATTTTATAAAAAATAATTTGTGTTGTAAATTTTTTTATTTTTTTAAATTCATAATATTTAATTTTTTTTACTTTGCACTTATACTTAATTTAATAATTATTTAATAATTGATATTACACATGAACAAATATTGTACTTATAACACTTAAAACTAAGAACGAAAAATCTCGCACGCATGGGGGATCGAACCCTAAACCCTTAGAACGCAAGTCAGATACGCATACCGCACAGCCGCGCTGGCTTGAAGTGCTGACTTGAAGTAGTTCACCTAATACAAAAGTTTTGATTTCAAAGTTTGTATTATCTATTGATCACGAAAATAAAATGAATTTATTCTTAAATTTTTTAAACTCATAAAATTTTTTCAATTTTTACAAAGATTTAATGAAATAAAACTGGATATCAATTTCAGTTAAATATTTTTAATAAATTATTTTTACCGTAAATAATATAAAAACAGACAAAAATGATTGATGAATTACATAATTAAAAATAAGTTAATAAAAGACGACTGTAAAATATGAATGGTGAAAAATTTTTTAAATTTAATATTTAATTATTAATAATATTTAAAAATTACAGTGAAAAAATTACATTTGCTTTATTTTTAAAACTATTAGAAAAAAATTCTCAACTTATTGTTATTGTATGCATGATAAATAACTTAATGCACATATGAGTACTAAAATAACTAAAAAAACATAAATATATTTTATATAGGTATATAATAATACATTACAATTACATCCAAAATTTTGAGGGAAAGTATTCGAAAGAAATTAATATACATTTTTTTAAATAAAAAATCATCGTTTTCTATCTATTGGAATAATTTAAAGACTTTTTCATTTAATGTTTTTTATCACCGACATAGTACTGATTCGGTGTGAATGACAGTGTACTGCCAGTACTGGTTTTAATATTTTTTTACCTCCGACATAGTACTGATTCGGTGTATTAGTCAGTACACTGCCAGTACTGAAAGTCAATACCGACAGCCAGTATTGGATCAGTACCATGCCGGTGTTTAATTACGGCGAGCTACGGATATTTCTACTTGGGAAATATAATTGACTGCTTTTTTTATATAGAGGAAAATAAATATAATGTTGTTGTGTTACGAAAGGTACATAAATTTCTCGAGTAGTGCAAACCGTCTTGGGTAACCAATGAGGTGGAATCGATTGACTCGATACCTTGAATCAAAGTGATCAACAAGGGAGTTCTCGGAATACCTAGATACCTATATACTCTATATAAGAATCATCCTATATAGTCTTTTTGAAGATTAGTTGACCAAGATCCTTTTCCACACTGGAAAACGAAAATTTATAGTCCAAGGAGATTTTGCAAAAGCCATATAAGAACTTAAATTTACTGCTTTTCAAAAAAAAAAACCATTTAATAAAAAAAAGTTTTCTTAAACCAAAAATTAAAAATTATTTTCATTTTCCTATAATTTAATACCCAATTCCTTCAAATTATAAATATACGGTTTTAAAATGTAAAAAAAAATAGTCATTGTTAAACTGAAATTCACCAATATTACAAATTGTTATTTGTTATAGCCATTATCATTTATGACAATAGTAGATAGTTAAAATTTTATTGTTATTTAACAGGCATGTTATATCACAATTTTACAATTATGTTCTCGATTAATAAATATGGAAAAAATATAAAAATATAAAAATTACTAAAGGAAAAAGGATTTTTTATTATATATATATATATATTTCTGAGGAAAAATTCAGCACAGTCGTTTTAATTAAAACTCAGCAATTTCATTATCTCTGAACTGGTAATCCCTTTCAAATGCGATGATAAAAGAATTATTTTTAATATGAAAAACTTTAATAGATGTCTGCATCAAGTTTCGAGTAATATTTTAATTAATAAATACGACTAATCCCTTACCTTTAAAAATAAAGCAAGGTATCATTGAAAAACAATTTTTTTTTATTGTCGATCAAAAAAAAAAAACTTCTTTCTACTATAATCGTTTTTGCATAATAATTATAATTAACAAAACTTTAATTTAATTAAATTATATTAAGTTTTTTTATATAAATTTGTTTTTTAATTAAAAATTTTTAATTAAAACTAACAAACAAAAGGTAATAAATATTAAATATTAAGGGATTGAAAAGATGAAGAAATGAATAATAATGATAAAGGGATGAAAATAAATAATAATAAATAATGAAAAGAATAATTATGTATACTTTCTCTAATTAAGAGTCTTGCTCGCGAGCAGTTTAAAACTTTCTTAAATCGTTGAAGTGCATTTTATGCGTTTCTCTCTCACAGCTCGTAATGATGATTCTTTTTTTTTTTTTTTTTTTTTTTTTTTTTTTTTTTTTTTTTTTTTTTTGAAATTTATAGTTATGAAAGTAGTCAAGGCGTAGAGTCGTTAATTTTTGCACGTCCGCGAAAACCTTTTCTTCTAAGAAATTTACTATATACAAGAGAAAGCGCATGCTGTCCAACCAACTCTCTCTCTCTCTCTCTTTCCTTCCTGCCTTTTCTCAGTTCTTTTCACACAGTACTTTGCAGAAACCGCTTAAGGCACTCGCCGCTTAAGAAACTCCTCGGAAAACTTTTCAGCCACATCATGAGATGACATAATATAAGTCGTGTCGTGTGCCTCTATACACACGTCAAGATTCTTTTTTTTCAACTTCTTTTTTAAACTCTCATCATGAATCACGATTATATTGTTATATCCATAGAGATACGTTTTTATAACAAAAAATCTCATTTTCAAAGCAATTTCTTTTTTTATTACATTCAAAAAGCTGTCTAATTAAAATCAAAGAATTTAGAAGAAAATTAAAACTCAGAGTAAACAAAGTGCTATATAATTTAAACATATTTTTACTACTAGTTAATCGTAATTTGTCTGACTAGAACTGGTTTTTGCTACTGAGGTTAAAATTAAAAAAATTTGTCTGACAGTAATTTATTTCTACTACCTATATAACTACTGTTCAGTGTCTGATTAATACATGCATTTACTACTTCGAACAAAACGTAGGCTATATGTTTGACTGCAAAATACTGTTACTACTATTACAGAAAAAAAAGATAGTTGGTCTGACTAAAAACAAATTCTACTACTGCTTTGAAGAGTACAACAATTCTGTCTGACTGCAACGTACTTTTACTACTTCTTTAAAAATAACAGACAGTAGGTCTGACTTAATACAACTTTAACTACTGTTACACTTTTGAGTGTATTTTGTGCAAGAAAATGCAATAAAATAGTCTGCCTAAGAAAAATTGAATTATTTTGAAAATTTTTTTTTTACGAAAATCGCTTTTATGGTCATAAAATTGGTGTTCCTCTACTCGGATCGGGCTGTCAATTTTTTTCTACACTTTTAGGTGTATTTTGAGCAAGAAAATGCAATAAAATAGTCTGCCTAAGAAAAATTGAATTATTTTGAAAAATTTTTTTTTACGAATAACGCTATAATGGTCATAATAGGGGTGTTCCTCTACTCCGATCGGGCTGTCAATTTTTTTCTACACTTTTAGGTGTATTTTGTGCAAGAAAATGCAATAAAATAGTCTGCCTATGAAAAATTGAATTATTTTGAAATTTTTTTTTTACGAAAATCGCTTTAATGGTCATAAAATTGGTGTTCATCTACTCCGATCGGGCTGTCAATTTTTTTCTACACTTTTAGGTGTATTTTGTGCAAGAAAATGCAATAAAATAGTCTGCCTAAGAAAAATTCAATTATTTTGAAAAATTTTTTTTTACGAAAATCGCTTTAATGGTCATAATAGGGGTGTTCCTCTACTCGGATCGGGCTGTCAATTTTTTTCTACACTTTTAGGTGTATTTTGTGCAAGAAAATGCAATAAAATAGTCTGCCTAAGAAAAATTGAATTATTTTGAAATTTTTTTTTTACGAAAATCGCTTTAATGGTCATAAAATTGGTGTTCCTCTACTCGGATCAGGCTGTCAATTTTTTTCTACACTTTTAGGTGTATTTTGTGCAAGAAAATGCAATAAAATAGTCTGCCTAAGAAAAATTGAATTTTTTTGAAAATTTTTTTTTTACGAAAATCGCTTTAATGGTCATAAAATTGGTGTTCCTCTACTCGGATCGGGCTGTCAATTTTTTTCTACACTTTTAGGTGTATTTTGTGCAAGAAAATGCAATAAAATAGTCTGCCTAAGAAAAATTGAATTATTTTGAAAAATTTTTTTTTACGAAAATCGCTTTAATGGTCATAAAATTGGTGTTCCTCTACTCGGATCGGGCTGTCAATTTTTTTCTACACTTTTAGGTGTATTTTGAGCAAGAAAATGCAATAAAATAGTCTGCCTAAGAAAAATTGAATTATTTTGAAAATTTTTTTTTTACGAAAATCGCTTTAATGGTCATAAAATTGGTGTTCCTCTACTCCGATCGGGCTGTTAATTTTTTTCTACACTTTTAGGTGTATTTTGTGCAAGAAAATGCAATAAAATAGTCTGCCTAAGAAAAATTGAATTATTTTGAAAAATTTTTTTTTACGAAAATCGCTTTAATGGTCATAAAATTGGTGTTCCTCTACTCGGATCGGGCTGTCAATTTTTTTCTACACTTTTAGGTGTATTTTGAGAAAGAAAATGCAATAAAATAGTCTGCCTAAGAAAAATTGAATTATTTTGAAAATTTTTTTTTTACGAAAATCGCTTTAATGGTCATAAAATTGGTGTTCCTCTACTCCGATCGGGCTGTCAATTTTTTTCTACACTTTTAGGTGTATTTTGAGCAAGAAAATGCAATAAAATAGTCTGCCTAAGAAAAATTGAATTATTTTGAAAATTTTTTTTTTACGAAAATCGCTTTAATGGTCATAAAATTGGTGTTCCTCTACTCCGATCGGGCTGTTAATTTTTTTCTACACTTTTAGGTGTATTTTGTGCAAGAAAATGCAATAAAATAGTCTGCCTAAGAAAAATTGAATTATTTTGAAAAATTTTTTTTTACGAAAATCGCTTTAATGGTCATAAAATTCGTGTTCCTCTACTCCGATCGGGCTGTCAATTTTTTTCTACACTTTTAGGTGTATTTTGTGCAAGAAAATGTAATAAAATAGTCTGCCTAAGAAAAATTGAATTATTTTGAAAAAATTTTTTTTACGAAAATCGCTTTAATGGTCATAAAATTGGTGTTCCTCTACTCGGATCGAGCTGTTAATTTTTTTCTACACTTTTAGGTGTATTTTGTGCAAGAAAATGCAATAAAATAGTCTGCCTAAGAAAAATTGAATTATTTTGAAATTTTTTTTTTACGAAAATCGCTTTAATGGTCATAAAATTGGTGTTCCTCTACTCGGATCAGGCTGTCAATTATTTTCTACACTTTTAGGTGTATCTTGTGCAAGAAAATGCAATAAAATAGTCTGCCTAAGAAAAATTGGATTATTTTGAAAAATTTTTTTTTACGAAAATCGCTTAAATGGTCATAAAATTGGTGTTCCTCTACACGGATCGGGCTGTTAATTTTTTTCTACACTTTTAGGTGTATTTTGTGCAAGAAAATGCAATAAAATAGTCTGCCTAAGAAAAATTGAATTATTTTGAAAAATTTTTTTTTACGAAAAACGCTATAATGATCATAATAGGGGTGTTCCTCTACTCGGATCGGGCTGTCAATTTTTTTCTACACTTTTAGGTGTATTTTGTGCAAGAAAATGCAATAAAATAGTCTGCCTAAGAAAAATTGAATTATTTTGAAAAATTTTTTTTTACGAAAATCGCTTTAATGGTCATAAAATTGGTGTTCCTCTACTCCGATCGGGCTGTCAATTTTTTTCTACACTTTTAGGTGTATTTTGTGCAAGAAAATGCAATAAAATAGTCTGCCTAAGAAAAATTGGATTATTTTGAAAAATTTTTTTTTACGAAAATCGCTTAAATGGTCATAAAATTGGTGTTCCTCTACACGGATCGGGCTGTTAATTTTTTTCTACACTTTTAGGTGTATTTTGTGCAAGAAAATGCAATAAAATAGTCTGCCTAAGAAAAATTGAATTATTTTGAAAAATTTTTTTTTACGAAAAACGCTATAATGATCATAATAGGGGTGTTCCTCTACTCGGATCGGGCTGTCAATTTTTTTCTACACTTTTAGGTGTATTTTGAGCAAGAAAATGCAATAAAATAGTCTGCCTAAGAAAAATTGAATTATTTTGAAAAATTTTTTTTTACGAAAAACGCTATAATGGTCATAATAGGGGTGTTCCTCTACTCCGATCGGGCTGTCAATTTTTTTCTACACTTTTAGGTGTATTTTGAGAAAGAAAATGCAATAAAATAGTCTGCCTAAGAAAAATTGAATTATTTTGAAAATTTTTTTTTTACGAAAATCGCTTTAATGGTCATAAAATTGGTGTTCCTCTACTCCGATCGGGCTGTCAATTTTTTTCTACACTTTTAGGTGTATTTTGAGCAAGAAAATGCAATAAAATAGTCTGCCTAAGAAAAATTGAATTATTTTGAAAATTTTTTTTTTACGAAAATCGCTTTAATGGTCATAAAATTGGTGTTCCTCTACTCCGATCGGGCTGTTAATTTTTTTCTACACTTTTAGGTGTATTTTGTGCAAGAAAATGCAATAAAATAGTCTGCCTAAGAAAAATTGAATTATTTTGAAAAATTTTTTTTTACGAAAATCGCTTTAATGGTCATAAAATTGGTGTTCCTCTACTCCGATCGGGCTGTCAATTTTTTTCTACACTTTTAGGTGTATTTTGTGCAAGAAAATGTAATAAAATAGTCTGCCTAAGAAAAATTGAATTATTTTGAAAAAATTTTTTTTACGAAAATCGCTTTAATGGTCATAAAATTGGTGTTCCTCTACTCGGATCGAGCTGTTAATTTTTTTCTACACTTTTAGGTGTATTTTGTGCAAGAAAATGCAATAAAATAGTCTGCCTAAGAAAAATTGAATTATTTTGAAGATTTTTTTTTTACGAAAATCGCTTTAATGGTCATAAAATTGGTGTTCCTCTACTCCGATCGGGCTGTCAATTTTTTTCTACACTTTTAGGTGTATTTTGTGCAAGAAAATGTAATAAAATAGTCTGCCTAAGAAAAATTGAATTATTTTGAAAAAATTTTTTTTACGAAAATCGCTTTAATGGTCATAAAATTGGTGTTCCTCTACTCGGATCGAGCTGTTAATTTTTTTCTACACTTTTAGGTGTATTTTGTGCAAGAAAATGCAATAAAATAGTCTGCCTAAGAAAAATTGAATTATTTTGAAGATTTTTTTTTTACGAAAATCGCTTTAATGGTCATAAAATTGGTGTTCCTCTACTCCGATCGGGCTGTCAATTTTTTTCTACACTTTTAGGTGTATTTTGAGCAAGAAAATGCAATAAAATAGTCTGCCTAAGAAAAATTGAATTATTTTGAAAAATTTTTTTTTACGAAAAACGCTATAATGGTCATAATAGGGGTGTTCCTCTACTCCGATCGGGCTGTCAATTTTTTTCTACACTTTTAGGTGTATTTTGTGCAAGGAAATGCAATAAAATAGTCTGCCTAAGAAAAATTGAATTATTTTGAAAATTTTTTTTTTACGAAAAACGCTATAATGGTCATAATAGGGGTGTTCCTCTACTCCGATCGGGCTGTCAATTTTTTTCTACACTTTTAGGTGTATTTTGTGCAAGAAAATGCAATAAAATAGTCTGCCTAAGAAAAATGGAATTATTTTGAAATTTTTTTTTTACGAAAATCGCTTTAATGGTCATAAAATTGGTGTTCCTCTACTCGGATCAGGCTGTCAATTTTTTTCTACACTTTTAGGTGTATTTTGTGCAAGAAAATGCAATAAAATAGTCTGCCTAAGAAAAATTGAATTTTTTTGAAAATTTTTTTTTTACGAAAATCGCTTTAATGGTCATAAAATTGGTGTTCCTCTACTCGGATCGGGCTGTCAATTTTTTTCTACACTTTTAGGTGTATTTTGTGCAAGAAAATGCAATAAAATAGTCTGCCTAAGAAAAATTGAATTATTTTGAAAAATTTTTTTTTACGAAAATCGCTTTAATGGTCATAAAATTGGTGTTCCTCTACTCGGATCGGGCTGTCAATTTTTTTCTACACTTTTAGGTGTATTTTGAGCAAGAAAATGCAATAAAATAGTCTGCCTAAGAAAAATTGAATTATTTTGAAAATTTTTTTTTTACGAAAATCGCTTTAATGGTCATAAAATTGGTGTTCCTCTACTCCGATCGGGCTGTTAATTTTTTTCTACACTTTTAGGTGTATTTTGTGCAAGAAAATGCAATAAAATAGTCTGCCTAAGAAAAATTGAATTATTTTGAAAAATTTTTTTTTACGAAAATCGCTTTAATGGTCATAAAATTGGTGTTCCTCTACTCGGATCGGGCTGTCAATTTTTTTCTACACTTTTAGGTGTATTTTGAGAAAGAAAATGCAATAAAATAGTCTGCCTAAGAAAAATTGAATTATTTTGAAAATTTTTTTTTTACGAAAATCGCTTTAATGGTCATAAAATTGGTGTTCCTCTACTCCGATCGGGCTGTCAATTTTTTTCTACACTTTTAGGTGTATTTTGAGCAAGAAAATGCAATAAAATAGTCTGCCTAAGAAAAATTGAATTATTTTGAAAATTTTTTTTTTACGAAAATCGCTTTAATGGTCATAAAATTGGTGTTCCTCTACTCCGATCGGGCTGTTAACTTTTTTTTTACCCTTTTAGGTGTATTTTGTGCAAGAAAATGCAATAAAATAGTCTGCCTAAGAAAAATTGAATTATTTTGAAAAATTTTTTTTTACGAAAATCGCTTTAATGGTCATAAAATTGGTGTTCCTCTACTCCGATCGGGCTGTCAATTTTTTTCTACACTTTTAGGTGTATTTTGTGCAAGAAAATGCAATAAAATAGTCTGCCTAAGAAAAATTGGATTATTTTGAAAAATTTTTTTTTACGAAAATCGCTTAAATGGTCATAAAATTGGTGTTCCTCTACACGGATCGGGCTGTTAATTTTTTTCTACACTTTTAGGTGTATTTTGTGCAAGAAAATGCAATAAAATAGTCTGCCTAAGAAAAATTGAATTATTTTGAAAAATTTTTTTTTACGAAAAACGCTATAATGATCATAATAGGGGTGTTCCTCTACTCGGATCGGGCTGTCAATTTTTTTCTACACTTTTAGGTGTATTTTGAGCAAGAAAATGCAATAAAATAGTCTGCCTAAGAAAAATTGAATTATTTTGAAAAATTTTTTTTTACGAAAAACGCTATAATGGTCATAATAGGGGTGTTCCTCTACTCCGATCGGGCTGTCAATTTTTTTCTACACTTTTAGGTGTATTTTGAGCAAGAAAATGCAATAAAATAGTCTGCCTAAGAAAAATTGAATTATTTTGAAAAATTTTTTTTTACGAATAACGCTATAATGGTCATAATAGGGGTGTTCCTCTACTCCGATCGGGCTGTCAATTTTTTTCTACACTTTTAGGTGTATTTTGTGCAAGAAAATGCAATAAAATAGTCTGCCTATGAAAAATTGAATTATTTTGAAATTTTTTTTTTACGAAAATCGCTTTAATGGTCATAAAATTGGTGTTCATCTACTCCGATCGGGCTGTCAATTTTTTTCTACACTTTTAGGTGTATTTTTTGCAAGAAAATGCAATAAAATAGTCTGCCTAAGAAAAATTGAATTATTTTGAAGATTTTTTTTTTACGAAAATCGCTTTAATGGTCATAAAATTGGTGTTCCTCTACTCCGATCGGGCTGTCAATTTTTTTCTACACTTTTAGGTGTATTTTGAGCAAGAAAATGCAATAAAATAGTCTGCCTAAGAAAAATTGAATTATTTTGAAAAATTTTTTTTTACGAAAAACGCTATAATGGTCATAATAGGGGTGTTCCTCTACTCCGATCGGGCTGTCAATTTTTTTCTACACTTTTAGGTGTATTTTGTGCAAGGAAATGCAATAAAATAGTCTGCCTAAGAAAAATTGAATTATTTTGAAAATTTTTTTTTTACGAAAAACGCTATAATGGTCATAATAGGGGTGTTCCTCTACTCCGATCGGGCTGTCAATTTTTTTCTACACTTTTAGGTGTATTTTGTGCAAGAAAATGCAATAAAATAGTCTGCCTAAGAAAAATGGAATTATTTTGAAATTTTTTTTTTACGAAAATCGCTTTAATGGTCATAAAATTGGTGTTCCTCTACTCGGATCGAGCTGTCAATTTTTTTCTACACTTTTAGGTGTATTTTGAGCAAGAAAATGCAATAAAATAGTCTGCCTAAGAAAAATTGATTTATTTTGAAAAATTTTTTTTTACGAAAAACGCTATAATGGTCATAATAGGGGTGTTCCTCTACTCCGATCGGGCTGTCAATTTTTTTCTACACTTTTAGGTGTATTTTGTGCAAGAAAATGCAATAAAATAGTCTGCCTAAGAAAAATTGAATTATTTTGAAAAATTTTTTTTTACGAAAATCGCTTTAATGGTCATAAAATTGGTGTTCCTCTACACGGATCGGGCTGTTAATTTTTTTCTACACTTTTAGGTGTATTTTGTGCAAGAAAATGCAATAAAATAGTCTGCCTAAGAAAAATTGAATTATTTTGAAAAATTTTTTTTTACGAAAATCGCTTTAATGGTCATAATAGGGGTGTTCCTCTACTCGGATCGGGCTGTCAATTTTTTTCTACACTTTTAGGTGTATTTTGTGCAAGAAAATGCAATAAAATAGTCTGCCTAAGAAAAATTGAATTATTTTGAAATTTTTTTTTTACGAAAATCGCTTTAATGGTCATAAAATTGGTGTTCCTCTACTCGGATCAGGCTGTCAATTTTTTTCTACACTTTTAGGTGTATTTTGTGCAAGAAAATGCAATAAAATAGTCTGCCTAAGAAAAATTGAATTATTTTGAAAAATTTTTTTTTACGAAAATCGCTTTAATGGTCATAAAATTGGTGTTCCTCTACTCGGATCAGGCTGTCAATTTTTTTCTACACTTTTAGGTGTATTTTGTGCAAGAAAATGCAATAAAATAGTCTGCCTAAGAAAAATTGAATTATTTTGAAAAATTTTTTTTTACGAAAATCGCTTTAATGGTCATAAAATTGGTGTTCCTCTATACGGATCGGGCTGTTAATTTTTTTCTACACTTTTAGGTGTATTTTGTACAAGAAAATGCAATAAAATAGTCTGCCTAAGAAAAATTGAATTATTTTGAAAAATTTTTTTTTACGAAAATCGCTTTAATGGTCATAATAGGGGTGTTCCTCTACTCGGATCGGGCTGTCAATTTTTTTCTACACTTTTAGGTGTATTTTGTGCAAGAAAATGCAATAAAATAGTCTGCCTAAGAAAAATTGAATTATTTTGAAATTTTTTTTTTACGAAAATCGCTTTAATGGTCATAAAATTGGTGTTCCTCTACTCGGATCAGGCTGTCAATTTTTTTCTACACTTTTAGGTGTATTTTGTGCAAGAAAATGCAATAAAATAGTCTGCCTAAGAAAAATTGAATTTTTTTGAAAATTTTTTTTTTACGAAAATCGCTTTAATGGTCATAAAATTGGTGTTCCTCTACTCGGATCGGGCTGTCAATTTTTTTCTACACTTTTAGGTGTATTTTGAGCAAGAAAATGCAATAAAATAGTCTGCCTAAGAAAAATTGAATTATTTTGAAAATTTTTTTTTTACGAAAATCGCTTTTGTTACGTCTCAAAAATAAGAAATAACTTTAGAAATAATATTTTATTTTATTTATGGCCGCTCGGTGATTCAGTAAATTCCTGTTTCATTTACAGAGCAGAAGGCTCTGAGCTAAGGGTACAGGAAAGAAAGAGAATAGAGATTTTTAATGTTAATGTTATACTTTATTTATGACAAACACTTAAGAGAAATTTTGTTCTTATGAGAGAGAGAATCTCGAAGCAACCAATCCAAGGAAAAGAGTTCAGCATTCCACTGAAACAAGGAATCCAAGGGTTACTTCAGAGTTACGAGAAATGTAGGAAAATTGGGGTGAAAATATAAAAACACTTACCTTTAAAATTAGAAGTAGATGTATGAATAGGACACTGCGGTGTCTTCTGTTTAGGCAGGATAAAAGGCTGGTGCCAGAAAGATTTATATGCCTCAGGAAGGTTGACGGGCCTAGGTAATGACCACAGGTCCGGAGTTCGGAATTGCCGTGACGAAGACCCACAATGAGATTCCTCCACAAAAAGGAAAGATGGTTATTTTCCAATTATATGGAAAATTACAGGTCCTTAGGTAGATGAGTACTCCTTTTGTGTAGAATTTTACGGGACTTGACTAGAATTTACTCGTTATAGAAATCGTCCAAATGACTAGATTCCGTAATAAGCACTATGAACTGGCACTGATATCCAAAAAATGACGAGTAGAAATAACGTAGATGAGGTGAAGTTTCGAACTGACGGTATCGGTGGTAATTTCTGAACTGAACTCTCCGTAAAAAAGTAGCCCTTTTATATCAAGTTTTTCATAAGGGAGACTATATGATTCCATTGGCTTGCATTGCTAAGACTATCTCTTTCTTTTTTATTATCCACAACGAGGGTTTTTGTGATTAAATTACAGAATTTAGAAAGAGCACACCACTGCGATGAAATCGCAGGTGTAAGCGAGAAACACTACAGGGGTGGTATATCTGATTATATTATAGAATTTAGAAAGAGAAAGTCTACGTGGTGAATCGTAGCTGTTAGAAAGGGACACTCATTTATGCCCTTTTAAGGTAATACTGAGTTTCTCGCTTCTAATTGTATATTTTTAGAAATACAATATGTGAACGTAGAACGATACAAAACGCAAGGGTCTTTATACATAAAAGAAAAGATGTTTGGCCACGCGACAAAGGGGCGGGAGTTTACAATTAAGTGAAAGGTATTTTAGATGCGTAACAAAAACACGGGTGTTAGTCGCAGAGACATTCAGCTTAGTATTGATTTAAAAAAAAAAAGAATTCTTACAATTTTGAATATAAAAGTTACGGTGACGTGACACCTCCCCCCTTTAAAATTCGGAAATTAAAAATGAAATTGAATAATTTACGAATTCAGTTTTTGAGAAGAGTTAAGTTATTTGAGGGAAATGTCACTTACAATTTTGATTATATTATGTAAAGTTTTTAGACATCAATGTTTAAAAGACCTAAGAGAAAATACGTCATACACATAATATAGTTTCACACCTTATTCACACCAAGTTAAGATACAAGTTTATATATATTGAAAAATACATACGAATATTATTGTTAATGATTTCAAAGATTTTCACACATATCCCGTACTATCATTTTTGAGTTAATAGTCATACATGATTTAAAAATGATTTAATCATAGAGATTGGGATCTTATGTATAGAAGCATATACAAATTTGAAATACTTTCGTAAAAGCTTACAGAATTAGTAGAAGTAGTATATAAAAAGGAATTTTAATTATATTTATAAAGACACTCATACCATGTATTATAGAAGATTTTAAGGATGTATTATTATCATTTGCTCTTTACACATTGGTTAATTTAGAATAAGATATAAGTTTTCAATACATAGTGCATACGGATAGATTACATTCTGATGATGACAGAGTTCAATTTTTTTTTTCATACATAATTTATACTTTTGAAATGTTATATAATTCTGTTAAAGATTTTCATCCACATATATTTACGAAAAGGAGGAAAGCAGAGAAAAAAAAATTTCTAACATTTTCCTTTCTGAACGCAGGTATAATTTTTGAAACAGATTTACATAAGCTTATACATCCCTCCCTCCTTTAAGAGAAAAACGAGAAGCATTCGAAGTTTTGACATGAATAGAATTTACAACATTGATTTAAAGAATTTTGGCTTTAATATTTATTAATTGGATAATTTTCGTTTTTTTTTTTTATTGTAACAATTTCTTGCTATATGATATTTTTCGAAACATTGCTCACAAGATAAGCTGCATTTGCTTAATTAAAATTTTCTTTTTTTACTCTAAGTGTCGATATATTATAATCATATTGTTTACACACTCATTGTGACATTAGTTGCAATCCTTCCTTTTATCTTTATCAATAGAATTTTTTTTTCAATTTTTGATTTCAATATAATCATTCCATGTTCCAAATGACATTATTGCTATTTTTTAATTCCTAGACTCCGGTAATCAATATATTGGTTTAGAAAACTAAATTCGATTGATAAATTCTTTATAACACGAATTGGAAAATTTATTTATTTTTACCATGCCCGTCCATATTACCTAAAGGAGTATAAGATTCTATCAGGTAACGTTGTTCTCATTTTCAAGACTACATGTTTCTCTTCTTTTTCTTTTTTCTTTTTTTAAAATAAATAATTTTTGAAATCGATGACATTTTCAATTAGGCTTATAGTTTACGAGATATTGACGATTTTATCTGGCATTTTTTTATATAAATTTTCAAATATTTTGAATTTGGGAAAAAAAAAAAAAAATTTCAATCTCGATTTACAAGTTTTAGATCTCAAAATTTCGTGTCCGATTGTGGTAATCAAATTTCGGTATTGATACGAACTACAAGAAAATGAAGTTTAAAAATTTTTAAAATTGATTTTTTTTATTTTTGAATATTTGAATTTGGGAAAAAAAAATTATTAATATAAAAATTTCTTATAAGAAATATTTAAAAGAAAAATAAGTAAATTTTATAATAATAAAATATATCCTGGAAGAAAAATAGCAAATATTAATATAATGAATGTCCATAATATATTTTAATCACCTGAAACAGAAATATCTCTATATTATTATCAATTATTTAATGTCTCTTTTTATTATATCTAAAAATTAAAATGTATGCTTAAGAAAATACTCCAGTTGTTCAATATAAAATTCGAGTCATCTGTATTTATTACAGATAATTATATATATTTTTTTATAATATTTATTTATTTTGTTGCTGACAATGCCTTTTTTTATTCGTATTTTAATGCTTTAGAATATGCAAAAACTGGATTATTTACTTTAATAAAAAGTTAATTGTATTAATGGAGAATTATAATTATAAGAGCAAACAATAATGTTGCAAAAGCAAATTGTTTTGTTTATGTGTATTTAGTGAATATATTGAAGGATGTGTATTAAGATTTGAATTAATTCACTATTCTTGTTATATTTTATTTAAATGTTTAAATTAATTTTAGTTAGCATGATGAATATGAGATAAGCGAAGTCTGTTAATGTGTACAATTTTTGGTGATTTATTTATTTTAATTTTTATGTTTCCTTTACTCAATATTTCTAACACTTCATGTGGTCCTGTATATTGATTACCTAATTTTTTCGGTTTGGGACCTTGTAATAAAAATACACTATCTCCGATTTTAAAATTTTGAGGGTTAGCTTTGCGATCATAGTAAGTTTTTGATTTTTCTTTAGATTCAATTAAATTTTTCTGCGCGAGAGATTGAATATCATGTAATTTTGTAACTAATTTTACTAAATAGTCATCATAGGTCTCGAGTTTTTCTTCTTCAAAAAGTGGTAAACTTGAAGGTAATCTTGGTAATCTACCGAAAACTAACTCATAGGGTGTACATTTAGTACCTTCGTGGACGCTTGTATTATAAGAAAACATAGCTAATTCTAATAAATCATCCCATTGAGTATTTTTATTGATGAATTGTTTAAGATATTCTGCTAATACATGATGCGATCTTTCTAATGAACCATTTGATTGAGGGTGAAAAGAAGTAGTTTTAAATTGTCGAATACGAAATCGTTTTGCTAATCGCTTCATAAGATTGCTCAAAAAATTTGTACCTTGGTCTGTTAAAACGCCTTTTGGAGAGCCAAAAGTACAAATGAATTTCTTTACAAAAGCATCTGCAATTGTACTAGCCTGCTGATTTGGTAAAGGTACTGCTACAGAATATTTTGTTAAGCAGTCTTGTATAGTTAAAATGCATTCATTTCCAGATTCTGTTGCTGGCAAAGGTCCTACTATATCCATTGAAATTTTTTCGAACGCGGTTCCTGGTGTATCAGTAATAACCATTGGGTTTTTAGTTTTTACTCGAACTAACTTTTTCAACTGACATTGTAAACATGCTTGAATATATTTCTGAATATCTAATTTCATATTTTCCCAAAAATATTTTTGCCGAATTCTATTATAGGTTTTCGTAACTCCCTTGTGACCGCCTATAGCAGAGGAATGTGCTTCTTCAATCAAAATTTGTCTTTGTTCATTTGTTGCATATTGAACATAACCTTTACAAATTATAACTTTAGTACAAGAATCTTGAAAAGTTTCTTTAAGAATTAATTCGATATCTTGCCAATTTACGTGATTAATGACTGTTGTTTTTGCAATACTAACTGATTTTAATTTTAATTTTTCTGTTAAATTTTTAAATGATTCAATTGTTAATTTGATATTATTTGTTATTTGAGTAAGACTTTCACTTGATTCTGTAGTAATTGGTAAAGCAATGTGTAAAAAATTTCCTTTTTTAATTTCTTTAGCTTCATTAATTAACAAATTTTTGAATTGAGGAAGTTCATTTTGTTTATTTAGACTTCGAGAACCATTATCTAAAGGGACACCTGTTGTAGATAAAA